AATCCCACTAGCTTTCATTCTCAGACGCTTTGCCACAACCTGTTTCTGTTGCTGGTTCTGCGAAGGATGATAGAGTTGGGTATTGCTCTTTGCCCCCAATCCTCTAATTTCATCCCCATCAAACTCCAGCTAAAGAACAAGTTATGTCTAAAATGTAGGCCCAAGTCAAACACTTACTGGGTGGCCACTGAACTCCCAGTATGGAATGTCTCAGTCAAGTGCTATGCCATTTTTAAATTTGTTTTGTGTTGTGCTTTGACTTCTGGAGAGTGTTCAGCTGTTGCTCACCCAAAGGACCCTGAATAATCCTGATCCCCACCCCAGCAAGTTCCCTATCTGACTTCCTGCTCAACAGAGCTGTGAACCACATCTTTGAGCCTATTCTTCCAGTACAAAACATAGTGTTATTAGTTTTTTGAGGGAGGGGAACAAGACTCCCCTAAAATATCTGGATTCAGTAAAGGGTTAGAATTTAAGCAACCCCCTAAATTCCTGGGCCTAGCAGAGGCTGGAGTTTAAATCAGTTTTCCATGTCCAAGAAACCACCTGGCAGAGGAGCCATGGAGAAGAACCATCAAGAGGTAATCATTGCAATGGCTGAGTCATTAGCATAACAAAGACAGAGTTATTATGCAAAGCAAATAGGGGATAGTTGATCAGGCAGAAGACCTGTAGTTTGGGTGTAGAATTACAGTTTGCCTGACACAAGCGAACAGGAAAACTGTGTCAGTTTGGCAAGCGGTTTGCCAAGCCAAAGAACCCGGGGGGAGAACACTGTGTGGGCTGGTTGGGTCAGGCTGTAACAAAGACACAGAGAGTATGGCTGGTTTCTCTGTTTGCAGACCCAAGGCTTATGAGAGATGCAAAGGACTCTCTTGGGGTGTAATACAGGGATTCTCCCACCATCTAGGCTCAGGTTGTATAATATGTGTAAATAAATCATATATTATAAAGACGCCACAGTCTCTGCTGTGCCTCTTTGTCCAAAAGGGAACACAAGCCCTGCATCCCCTGGAATCTGGCAGCACGTGGAGAGTGGGGTGTGCGTAACAATAGCATTAGTATTCAAGGTACTTGGTGGGTAGCAGGTAACAAGTGATTTGCTCTCATTTTGCATGTCATGTGATATATTGATTTATTGCTACTAGATTAAGTGCTCAGTTAAACCATCAATATTGTGACCAGTGCATGATGTATGAATATTTCCTCTACAAATTATCATGTTTATTCCAGGTTCAGCTTTACTCTTCAAAATCCATCTTGTAATTTCAGAAAGAATACAATGGAACAAAAGGGGTTTTTCCTGAGCCTGTTGGCAGATGATTTCCCCATTACTTCCTTGACTACATTCTTACCCAGTAGCACATTTTCCCAGCTATACTTTTCCAAATTCCTCTGATTATTATTATTTACCTAACCCAATACTGGGTTAGCAGCAGCTCTCCAAGATCTCAGGCGGAGGTATTTCATGTCGCCTGCTTCCAGTTCCTGCAATGGCATGGGTTGAACCCATGTACACAGTGCAGGTGCGCTACCACTGAGCTATGCTCCCCCTTTCTAGTCATGGGGATTGTTAAGGATGCTGCAGTAGTCTCTTAGGTTTGCTTCCCAACATAGTTTCACTGGTGCCGACAATCATTTTGCCACTAATCCTGTTAGGTTTACTTTTTACATTGACGATGACAATGATGATGAACATGGGCAGTCGGAGGTGTGCACACTTTCACAAGCTAGCTGGGTGTTTACGAATAGAGATCTGCACCCCATTCAAAGCCATGCACAGCACCTGCACATGGATGCACATGCCCAAATTATGCCCACGATTTTTAAAAGAGTTATGCTTGTGATACTCCCTAGGGCTTTGATTGGTGTTTGAGGATCGTGGGGGGAGGGGGAAACGGGACAAATTTAATGAATCCCTAGGTAAATGTGTGTTGCATGAAAGAAGCCTCCTCTGAAGTCTGTGTTGTTGAAGCTTTAAGCCTGAATATTCCATTCTTTGAACTAAATTATCCAGCTCTTACATTTCTATATAAAACATCAGTCTGGAAATGAGCATCTTGGTGATCTTGAGAAAACAAAGTTCTAATGCTTTTAATATGCAAGTAAAGTTAGAATTTAGGCTTATTGCTATAACTTCAGAAAGCACCTTCACAAATATATTCAGATATTTATTAATATTCTATGAATATTTGAATCTCATGAAGTCAAGCCCTGATCACTGAATAGTTGAATCTGGAAACCCTGCTGGCTGCTAGTATTTTAGACAGGAATTATTGCAAATCCTTTTGGTTTTTAAAGCCTACAGCCAGGAGAAATTGAATGTTTAAATTAGGGTTAGATTAATTTTGATTTAGGTAGATAAAGAATCAAATATCATATTCTCTGTGTGTGTGCATGCACATTTGTGTGTTCTAATCAAAGTAAGACTTCAGAACTTTCCAAACACTGTACTTCAAAAATTGTGTTCAGTAGAATACATAAAGTATTCATTGACCATGAGAAAAAACTATTCTGCCTTCAGTTCCATGGATATATATTAAATAAGTCATGGGAGATGGGCTCCTCCATATTTTCAAGAGCGAACAATAGCACAGATGAGTGGCAGCTTTCCAGGATTGCAGTGGCTCTGAATAACAGCCGTGATAAACAATGAAAAGCAGATGAAAGATTATTGTGTGGTACTAATATTATCATCAACAGATATGAAAGTGACCAAATATACAGAATCAGTAAGGGTTTGGTCACTCTAAAAAGGGTAACTAGTCCTTTCGTGATAAAGCCAGGGCTGCACAGCACATTTGTGTGGGCAATAATTATATTTGCAATTGGTGCAACAGAGATAAAGCATAATCCAAAAAATTGAAGTGTTGGGTTGATTTCTGTGAAAGTTAATCACTTGATTAGAAGGAGAAATGAAGTTTCTTCAGAGGAACATGCAAAGTATAAAAGTAAGAAAAGGGGAAAAATTTGCTCTACACATGTTAGTTTCTGTACAGTGTTGATTAGGCTAGGATCGGATTCTGTATACAGAAATGAATCATATTAGTCACTTACAGCCCAACAATACTCACATCTGAGTATAGCCCTGATGCCCTAATCTTGAGGATTGGAGTGGAAAGTCCAGTTTGAGGCATCTAGTTGTCCTTTTCAGAATTGTTAGGTCAGCAACTACTTAGCTTGGTCACCAATACAACACCACAAACTGCTAGGTCACGGCAGAAACATTGCTGTGGCATTGCAGGCACACCCATGTCAGCTCTCAAAACGCTTCTGAAGTATCTAATCTGGAATTAGAGGTGTAATATGGGGGACACAGGGGCAGCTGCACGCTTCCATCACTGGGCTCTGTTGAAAACTGCTTCTCCACGCCAACCAGAAAGTGACCTCTCCAGACAACTGAAGGGCTCTCCTGGGTGACGCGGATGCAGTTGAATGTGTACTCCATCCATGTCCTCCCTCCCTCCCAGCACGACCCTGGGCCGCTTTCCATGGAAATCAGCGAGGCTTACCCAGGCTGTAAAAGCTTAATATTAAACCCACCCACCACTGGTAATTGGTAAAAGCACATGAGTCACAGTGATTTGTGATTATTTGTATGTTTTAAACATTTTTTTATATATCGATAGTTTTTTAATGATATTTCCCCCCGTTTTTTAGTGATTCTTGTTTATATCTGTAAGCTGCCTTGAGTCCCATCAGGGAAGAGGGTGGTGTATAATAATAATAATAATAATAATAATAATAATAATAATAATAATTTATTTATACCCCTCCTCCCCTGCCAAGACTGGGCTCAGGGCGGCTAACATCAAATATAAAATACAGTTAAAAACAAAACCAAAAAACAACAATACCCAATTGATTAAAATACAGCTTAAAATGCAGCCTCGTTTTACTGGTGGCCCATAAAGCAAGACCATAAGGGGAGGAAACATCAAATATTCACCAGGGCCAGCTATCCATGCTGGTCCTACATGGGCCAGTAAAAGGGCCGAGGGAAAATTTATATGCAGGATCCCAAATAAGGGGTTCCATCAAAAAGAAGAAAGGGGTGTGGTCAGACTAAGTTCAGACCAAAGGCCTGGCAGAACAGCTCCGTCTTGCAGGCCCTGCGGAAAGATGTCAAATCCCGCAGGACCCTGGTCTCTTGTGACAGAGCGTTCCACCAGGTCGGGGCCAGTGCTGAAAAGGCCTTGGCCCTGGTTGAGGCCAACCTAACCTCCTTGAGGCCCGGGACCTCCAAAGGGTTGTTATTTATGGACTGTAAGGTCTTCTGCGGGACATACCAGGAGTGGCAGTCTCATAGGTCCAAGGGTCCTAGGCATGATCATAATAATGCAAAACCGCAAGGACTGCCACAGTCCCCTTCTCTTTGTTGAATGGAACAAGTCTTTAAATACCTCTATGGGTGCAGTGGAAAGAAAGAAGATTCTCCTGGGTGTCCAGAGCCATGCAGTTTAATTCTATACGTGTTTACTTTGGACTAAGTCCCTCTTTATTCAGGCCCTCCTAGTCACAGGAGTGCATGGAATGAGTAATATGAATCATCATTGTTTAAGGGGTAGTTATAAACTTTCTAGATTTAATAGGAACAGTTTAATTAATAACAATTATCCAGAATATTACTGTGGTTTAGGTAATACCTCTGAAAGTGCGGAGGAGGCTTGACATTTTCCTTTCTTTGGTAGATAAACCAGGCTACTCAATTTTAAACCCCCTTTCATTGTGCTGCCTACATTTATTAAGGTCTGCATGAGTCTGTATATTCACGGCAGTATAATCACCTGCTTTAGACGGAGTCAAACTGCTGGTCTGTCTTGCTCAGTATTGTCTACACAGGCTGGCAGCAGTTCTTTATTTTATTTTATTTTATTTTATTTTAATATTTTGCTGGAAGCTGCCCAGAGTGGCTGGGGAAGCCCAGCCAGATGTTCAGGGTATAGATAATATATTATTATTATTTAGGGTTTCAGCCAACAAACAATCCTGGCCTTACCTGGAGACACCAGGGACTGAACCTGGGACTTTCTGCAGGTAAAGCAGGTGTGCTCTGCTACTGAGCTATGGCCCTTCAATAGTAAGTTCAGCACTTCTTAAAAAAAAAACAGAATGTAAAACTCTACCTGCAGTTTTAGGTGGAGGAAATACTTCTGTAAAGGGAAATGGCACACACAGCCCCCAGGAAGTAAAATCTGTTCAAAGCTGTACCGTGCAGGTCAGGGTCTTCATACCTTCCTAACAACTGAGAAGCTGCAGCGCGCTTGTTGAGACTTTGCTGTAGAAGTGTCAGCTGGACCATTAGCATGCCCTCTTCCTATATTTTAAAAAGACAAATTGCATTTGACTGCGATGACACTAATTATAGTGGAGAGGTTCAAGCTGAGACCCCCTGCTGGCGAACTCAGCCAATAAACCATCTGTGACTGACAGGAGTTTCTACCGCTTTAGACAATTGGAATTTCATAAAAACTGTTCTTCTCCTCCTTGCCCAGCCGCCTCCGAGAAGAGAAATTGACATGAACAGGCGAGATCCAGAGTCACCACAGAACAATCAGAGTGTTGCATTACTGAGATCACGGGGGTTTAGCACAGAAAGCTCAGAGCTCTGATAAACCAGCATATTGACCCCCAGAGGAACAATGGCAGCTGTCTCTCTATCTGTACATCATATAATGAAGACAGAAAACAGTTACCTGTAAGATTATTATTTTTTAAAGAAAATCTGTCACACGCTTTCGAGGTATTTGACCAAACGTTATTAACATGCAGCAAGGGCTAACAATCGCAGAAGTTAGTGCCAAGCGCATTCCTGTGACATTGGCATCATTTCAATAATTTTACAGTACATTTGAATTGCGGCAGCAGTCATCCGCTCATTTTCCATTAACTTTGCCTAGAAATTTCTTGCGTCCGCACATGGAAGCAAAGTGTCAAGCGTCTCCTTCATGCTCGGAGACATTGCCTGAATCACACTGATGCTCTGGATAATTGTTATTAATTAAACCTTTCCTATTAGCCCCTGTTTTAGTTGTAACAAACTGCAAGTGATTGCATTCAGCCACTCTGTCTTTTTCGTTAGAATGAAGGGCACAGAAGTGAGATTTCTGTTGTAACACTGAGTAGCCAGTCTCTTATGGCTTGATTATTATTATTATCATTATTATTATTTTTAAAAAGGAAAGCTGGAGGTTGGCGGGACGTACATTGATGCATAGGCTCATTATTGTCAAATTAGATTCACTGACTTTCACTGCCGTTTACCAAGAACTGATGAGTAGCTTCAAGGACCCTTTGCAGCGGGTAAATTCACGCACGGGACCACTTGCCACCAACTGGTTTGCACATGCTTTGACAACTCCTTAATATTATGCAGGAATGTTCAGTCACAAGTCTTGCTTTGTGCCTTAAATGGGTCACATTCCGTACGCTGTGAGCGTGCAGTAATGACTCCTTCAGAAACCCCTGCATATGCACAAATGCCCTCAGAAGTTAGATGAAATGGACCTTTGCATTGTCCCCATTTAAGCCATGGTGGAGAAAGCAGCAAGGCCCCTAACATTTGCTTAAGGGCAACAGGAGATAATAGACAAGAATATTAAAGAAAGGTCTTTTGTTTCCCAGAGCTTGTGTGCACTTGTATTTACTTCTGGTGGCATCGAACAGCAAAATGTAACTCCTGAGGCAGCTGGTAGTCTACTCCCAATTGTATGGCTACAACTATCTCATCAGATAGAAGTGGGTATCAGTTAGCAAGGAACGGCAGTCTACATCTAGCGTAACCAAGATAAGCTAACAAGATACAGTGTAGGAGGTAGAGCAGGACTAGTCAACATGGTGCCCTTTAGACTCCAATCCACACCACCATTTCTTCCTAACCAACAACACAAGGTTCTTGTTTTGATAAAGGGATGTAGGTGAGGGGTGAAATGTGCGACCTGCATGGGGCTCTTTGAAGGCAAGGTTTTAAAACGCAGTAAAATAAAATACTCTCTTTCGTTGCCTCCAAAATGGAATACAGTAGATAAGGACCCAGGCTATGATCCTAAACATGCTTTGCAGGGAGTAAATGCCATGGAAATCAATTCCCAGCAGGATCTTAGTCATATTTACATGGAAGTAATTCTTACTACATTTAACAAATGTGTTTAGAATTTCAATCTTACGTGTAGTGGAAGTCTGGGGTGGGGTTGGGAGATTGGACAAGGAGGTGGCATCGTGGAGAGCATAATGGACAAGACAGCACTTAACTGACTGGATTTGTTGTAAATAATAATAATAATAATACATTTTATTTATAAAATTTATAAAATTTTTAAACATTTTTTCTTCTGTTTTACCACTGCTTCTTGCTTCCAGCTGAGAACATGTAGTATGTATGAGCTGGGTAGCGTGAGCTGGGGGGAAGAGGACACAATAATGCCCGGACTCCTTGCAAGTGTGTTGTATTTATTGTGCTCCTTCATTTGGATATTAATGTTATGAAAGTTCATCATCAACAACAGTGAAAACCTGAGCTTTTTTCAGCTGTGGAAATGTGAGTTCCCTTCACTTGAATTAGCAGCAAACCATTAAGGTTCACGGGCTTGTCTTTCAAATACAGTGCTACTGACCTGCAGCAAGGTTATTCGATAGCCCAGCTTGGCTCTGTTCCAATACTTCTTAATATTGTCCTTGACTTTATTATACTGCTGCCCTTGACTAACTTCTATGGCATATTTTCTTCACCTGCTTAACACCTTGTCAGGTTTTTTTAAAAAAAGTATTTCAAGAATCACTGGGGACCCTGAAAGAAAAGCCACATCATTGAAAAGCCATAATTGAAAAGCAACTGGGGGGGGGGGGTGTCCCCACCCACCCTTGACTACTCTTCCCATTTCTGGGAGCCTTAAACATGGGGGGGGGGTTGTGTGTGGGGGACAAAACCCATGACTGAATAAAAAAGGTCAAAGGAGCAGTTTCCTATAGGCAAGCTGGGCTTTATGAGCCTTTTTAAAAAAAAGAACATAAAGGGACATGACTCCCAAAGGCAGGGGTGGAGAATCTGTGGTCCTCCAGAGGCAACTGGATGATGGCTCTCATCCCTCCCCCCCGACCCTTTAGCCGTACTGGCTGGGCTGATGGAATAGGAGCCCAACAACACCTGGCTGGCCACTGGCTCCCCCACCCCCCACCCCACTCTCACGTTGTGGTGACCTCCAGCTGGAACACTGGTCAGGGCTGGATGGAAGTGCAGAAAGGTGTGGGCAGCACTTGGAACATGCTGATAGGCTCGGAAGCAGGGGTCACTTTCACCAGTGAAAGCCAAACCCCAGTTTATTCCCTGTGCCATCCTTCTTCACAGAGAATGGTCCCTTCCATGCACCCTTGGGTGCAGGGTGCTCAGGTGACTGGCTGGCTTTGGGGCAAGCTGTCTCCATGGCATTAACCCCTACCAGGGCACCAAGCCCATTGGGGCTGGGAGATCATTATTCCTGCGAGGTCCCAAATGAAGCACAATGTGGGGTGGGGCCCTGTGCAAGCTGCTAGGGAGATGTGAGGGGAGGGAGGACCAAACTGCCAAGAGTGAATCCACATCCTGTATCCAAAGGACAGGGAGGAGGGAACAGCTGCTTGCTATCAGTCCCCACTTAATACAATCTAAACTCGGTAGGTTTCTGTGAAACCTTGCTGATGTTAGCAATAGAAAATCTCCTATTTGATCCCACAGCATCAGCCCCACTCTATCTCAGAGGGGTTTCTAGACGGCAAGACTCTGGTTCTCAGAGTATTCATCCCTTGTAGAGATGGCTATATCTGCTGAATATGGAATATAGCTGCTGCATCGGTGCATTTCATACGACCACTAGAATTGTCAGCTTGCAATTTTAAAAGCAGGCAAGTTCCTTGCCATTGTGTTTTCTGAAGATTCAGCTTGAATTTGAGTTGGCAGTTTTTGCTAATGGGTTACATATGCCAGTGTGCAGCACATGGAACATGTACACAGCTCTCAAAATTCCCCTTTGCCCAGCATGTTTATTGTAATGCAGGGGTGCCTAATCTGTGGCCCTGCAAGTGTGGCACAAGTCCATCATCACTGACCATTGGCCCTGCTCATTACAGCTGATGAAGTCGGACAACATCTGGAAGGCCACAGGTTAACACCCCCAGCTTGTTATTATGTCCCCAAGTATCTTTCTATTATTATAAAGGGGAGGACGCTGGACAAATTTTGTGCTTCTAACAGGACATGCAGAAGGAAGCAGGATACCTAATGAAGTTGGGCCCATGTCATTTATCCTGCTGTTTAACCAGATTTTCAGATTTTTTAAAAAAATTTGGTTAGGGCAAAGTGTGAACTAAGTCCATTTGTAGTGAATCATCTAATGGTGGTGGGAAAGTACTTGGATTTCCGCTTGTTACTGACTTCCTTGAATTCATCACCACTGAAAGTCAGCTTCTGCAATTTATTATGGAATTGTTTAAGGTGAAGAAAATCCCTATAAATCAAGCAAAACTACACAGAGAGAGAGAGAGAGAGCAAGGAAATGTCATGAGGAGCAGCACCGGTTTTGATATCCTCTTTCAATCAAGCAGCTGGCTTTTATTAATAGCCTAATCAGTGCCATAGCATGTCTCATTTAAAAACAGTAACTTGCAACAAAAGTTTGAGTGTTGACTAAGAGAAAGAAAATGTGCAGACCATCTCATTGGTGGGAAAGCATTCCATACAATTCTTCTTCAGGCTAACCTGGTCTTTGGATCAGGGGCTGGATTGGGAGCTTAGGCATACAATTTACAGGGTGGAGGCGGTTTGGCTTTGCTGTTGAGACTCAAAAACTCTCTTCCAACCTTTTCCCCAGTAGCTGATCTAGATAAAAAACAGAACACAAAACACCTTGTATCAATCAATGGCTATGTGTGTACAGATGTCTTATTAGACATCTTTCACTGTACCTGAAGTAGAGAGCAGGTACAAAATGCATTCTCCATTCTCCTCTAGGACCTGATTCAGACAACACACTGAGCCAAATCTTTGTGAAGTGAGACCATGCGGACACTTGCTTAGGAGATTGAACTTGCTTTGCTCTT